ATGAGGAATATGGATACAACCATTCACAGTGTGACGCGCCTACGATTTAGCGTTCATGTACTATCTCAATATGTATTTACATCACCATCAGCTTACTCCCAAACAAACTTCAGAAGAGGGAGTCGTCAATAGCCTTGCCGGAGTGCGGTTGCTGCTGACAATTGCTACCACTCGGGCTACTTTCGAGTGCCTCTACCTTTGACAGAGAATGAATACGCAGGAGTGGCTTGGTACTTGCATAAATGGTAGGCTGGCGAGTTATATCGCTTCCAGCTGAACCAACATTTCTTCAGGCAAAGCATTGCCATCGCGAGAAACCCGCGAAAAGCTGGTCAAGAAGCCGCCTCAAAGAAAAAGGGAAAAGAAAGGTTTATCTTGCCTTGAAAGACAGACACTTAGTAGATTTGCTGCCAGGTGAATCTGGAGCACAAGGACCAGCGGTATAATGGTAACACACTGCTTCCGAACGTGAAGGGGAGTAGTTCGATTTCCTCCCGGTCCAGAACAGTTTTTGGAGGAAGAGCTCCGTTCACGACAGCTCATTCCCGCTAAGTCATGCCTTGAAAAAGGCTCGAAATCTCAGGTTTCAACATCGAGCGCCACCTTCAAGTGCTTCCGTTTCTTGCAGGAAGCGAAACTCGAATGAAGCTTTCGGCCTTACCTTACCTACCAAAGCTCGAAGCCGTTTATACTTGGTAGAAAAAACCAGGAGAAAAAAAAAACTAACCAGAGACGCTGATAACATTAAAACGGTTCGTAGTTTTCGTGATGCTAAGTGCACTCCATGGATCTACCTCTCCATTTACAAACAACACATTTCGCCCCTAAAATTTCTTCAAAATGCCAATTTTTTTCATGAACTAATATTTACAAGACAGTTTTACGTAATATGCGTCTCCGATATCCGTGAAAAGCCTGCAGAAATGAAAGGTATGCGCTGCTTGTGGAAGCAACATTACTAACTACAACCCATCCACATATCAAAGGGGGCAAAATGGGGAGACAGACAGGAATAAACGGAAAGGACTGGTAGAATTTCATTTTAGCAGCATTGGGAAGTTCATACTAAAGTACAACCATGCGCACAAACACAAACACATGCAAACACAGATATATACATACAAAACGAACACTCATACTTTCTTGCACACATGCATGTATGCATACATACGTAAATTCACACATAGACACATGTTTACATGCAAACATG